TGTTCATTAAAAATATTGGCCTATAGTTTTCTTTTGTTGTGTCCTCTTGTCTGATTTTGGTATCAGGGTAATGCTGGCCTTAGAAAAGATTTGGAAGCATTCTCTCCCCTTTGATTTTTTAGAATAGTTTTAGAGTAATTGGCATTAGCTTATCTTTAAAAGTTAGGTAAGAACCACCTGTAAAGCCATATAGTCTTAGACTTTTCTTGTTAGACTTTTTATTACTGATTCAATCACATTATTCATTATTGTTCTAATTCAGGTTTTCTGTTTCTTCATTGTTCAATCTTGGTAGGTTATATGTGTCCAAGAATATACCTATTTTATAAAGTTTTCAATTTGTTGATGTAAGTTGTTCGTAATGGTCTGTAATGATCTTTTGTATTTCTGTTTTATCAGTTGTAATGTCTCCTTTTTATCTCTGATTCTATTCCACTGACTTTTTTCTTTCTGTTAGTCTACCTAAAGATTTGTTGATTTTGTCTATCTTTTCAAAACCGTATTTTCATTGGGTTGATCTTTCATATTTTTAGTCTCAATTTTATTTATTTTTTTCTAATCTTTAGTATTTCTTCTTCCTATAATTTTGGGTTTGATTTGTTCTTGCTTTTTTAATTCCATGAAGTGCGTCACTGGGTTAAATGAAATCTTTCTACCTTTTTAGATAGGCATTTATTTCTATAAACTACCCCTCTTAGTACTGCTTTTGCTATATAACATAAATTTTGGTGTGTTGTGCTTCTATTTTTATTTGTTTTAAGAAATTCTTAAATTTTCTTTTTAATTACTTTATTTACCCATTGGTTGTGCAGGAGCACGTTGTATTGGTACATTTTCCAAAATTCCTCTTGTTATTAATTTCTAGTTTTATTCCACTGTGGTCAAAAAAGATACTTGAATGTGATTTTAATTTTTAAAAATGTGTTGAGACTTGTTTTGTGGCCTAACATATGGTCTACGCTGAAGAATGTTCCATGTGGTCATGAGAAGAATATATACACATTCTCCAGCTGTTGAATGACAAGTTCTGTAAAAGTTAGGTTTATTTGCTCTAGACTGTAGTTTAAGTTCAATGTTCCTTTGCTGATTTTCTCTTTGGATGATCTGTTCGGTGCTGAAAGTAGGGCGTTAAAATCTTCTATTATTGAAGTGCAGTCTGTCTCTCCCTTTAGATCTAGTATTTGCTCTGGTGTTGGTGGGTATATATTCAAAATTTTTATACCTTCTTGCTGAATTGATCCTTTTATCATTGTATAATACCCTCCTTTGTCTCTTTTTAGGATTTCTAATGTAAAGTCTATTTTATCTGATAAAACTACAACAACTGCTGCTTTCTTTTGCTTTCCATTTGCATGGATTATCTTCATGTGTCCTTACGGGTGAGGTGAATCTTTTGTAGGCAGCATATAGCTGGGTCTTTAAAAAAATACCTCATTTAGCCACTATATATATTTTAACTGGAGAATTTAATCTGTTTGCATTCTAGGTTATTATTGACACATATGGACTTACTCTTGCCATTTTTAAAGCGTTTTCTAGTTGCTTCATAGTCTTTGGTCCCTTCTTTCTCTCTTGCTTTCTTCTTTTGTGGCTTTGTGGTTCCTGTAGTAGTATGTTTTGGTTTTTTTCCTTTTATCTTTCGTGTATCCATTATAGGCTTTTGCTTTCTGACTATCCTGAGGCTTACATAAAGCATGTTATACTTATAACAGGTTAATTTAAGCTGATAACAGTTAATTTTGATTGCATACACAAACTTTTCACTCTAACTTCCTTTTCTCCCATGTTTTGTTTTTGATGTCACACTTTACATCTTTTTATAATAACAAAAATAACATAAGTAATAATTTCACATAAAATAATAGAAATAAAAATAATAGGCCTCCTCAGCCACTCAGGCCTTTGCTGCTCCTCCAGAGAGGGACTTGTAAACAATGAATTTGCATGCCATAGACAAGGCCAGGGAGAACTGTGGCCAGATTCACAAGCCCTTCCCAGGCCTTACTGGGCATCCTTATCTGGTGCCCACAAACAGGGGGTACTTAGACATATTTTCTGGTGCCTCTGATGACCAGCAGTGCTTTGGACTGGAGTGGAAAGTAGGGCACCAACCATCCCTGGGCCTTCACTTTACAGCTAGGTGCAGTACTCTCCCCTAACCAGGAGTCTTAAGAAAGTTTTTGGAGACTCATCAGGCCAACCAGACCCATGCAACAAGGTACCCTTCTCAGGCCTTCATACCTGGCCCCATCTAAGCAGCACCCAAGGCCTTCCTGACCACTGGCTCCCATCCAGGCTCTCTCCAGTTCCATGGCCCATTCAGATTTGTCCTGGCCTCCAGAGAGGGGTTTAGATACAATTTTGCAGGGTGCCTCCTATGACAAATCCCCACTCAGTCCACCAGGTGGAAGGGATGCCCTCCCTGGCCTCCATGACTAGTTAGGGAATGTCTCAGCTACCTAATTGGGAATGAGAAATGTTTTAGGGAGTGCTGTATGCAACTGTGCCCCACACAAAACTGTAGCCATGTCAGAGACCCTTCCTGGAGGCTCCATGTCCAGCTTTGACTGATGTCTGTAGGGAATACACATGTTCCCATAGGGGAAGTGAGAAACTCTTGGAGGCATTACTTGTATTTCTGTTTTCATGTAGTTCAAAGAATTCTTTTAATTTCTCTTGAGATTTCTTCTTGACCCTTATGTTATTTAGACATGCATTTCTGAATACCCAAGTGTTTTGAGATTGTCCAGTTATCATTCTAGTACTGTTTTGTATAATAGTTAGGTTCCAATGTTTTTTGAAGAGCAGATATGGTATGGTTTTTATACTTTGAAATGCATTAAGGTGGGCTTTATGGCCCAGAATGTGGCCTATCTTGGTGAATGCTCCATGTGAGAGTGAAAAGAACATGTATTCTGCCGTCATTAGACTAAGTAAGCTATAGATGTAAATTACTTCCAGTAGTTTGATGACGCTGTGTACCTCAACTATATTTTATTGATTTTCTATCTGTTGGATCTCTCCATTTCTAATAGAGGGTGTTGATGTTTACAACTATGGTTGTGAATACTTTTATTTATCCTTGCAGTTCTGTCAGGTTTTTGCCTCATGTATTTTGACACTCTTGTTAGGTGCATACACATTAAGAATTGTTGTATTTTCTCAGATAATTCACTTTTTGTTACCATGTAGTGCCTATATTAATCCAGAATTATCTTTTACCTCTGAAATCTACTCTGTCTGAAAACTAATATAGCTGCTTCAGCTTTATTTTAACTATGGTTAGCCTTGTATAACTTTTTCCATTTCCTACATCAAATCTATATGCCTTTGCATTTAAAATGAGTTTCTTGTACACAATGTATAGTTGGGTCTTTTTTGTGGGGGATCAACTTAGATGAACTCGGTCTTTAACTGGTGTATGTAGACCATTGATATTAAAGGTGATTACAGATGCAGTTGGATTGGTATTTATCATGTCTGTTATTATTCTCTATTTGTTGTCCTGTTTTTTCTTCCTATTTTTGCCTTCCACTCTTTTCCCACCTTTTGTGGTTTTAATGGAGTTTATATGATTCCATTTTCTCTCCCATTTAAGCATGTAAATTCTTCCTTTTTACTTTCAAAAAACCTTTCTATTGGTTGCCCTAGACTTTGCAGCATACATTTACCATTAGTACAAGTCTACTTTCAAGTAATACTATATTGCCTTATGAGTAGTGCAAGTATTTTATAATAACAAAATATTTCTAACTCTTCCCTCCTATAGTTTATATCTTTGCTATCATTTGTTTCACTTTTCGATAAATTATAATCATCTAATAACTATTGCTATCCTTATTTTGAACAAATTATTTATTAACTGCTATATCAATTAAAACTAAGAAAATGCAAAGTTTTTACTTTACATTCATGTATTCATTTTTAATATTCTTCCTTTATGTAGATCCAAATTACTTACTTTTCTCTGAAGAACTTCTTTTAACTTATTTCAACATTTCTTGCATGCAAGTCTACCAGCAACAAATTGCCTCGATTTTTGTTTTCTACAAGTCTCTGTCAGGCGCGGTAGCTCATACCTGTAATCTCAGCACTTTGGGAGGCCGAGGCAGGTGGATCACTTGAGCTCAAGAGTTCAAGACCAGTCTGGCCAACATGGTGAAAATCCACCTCTACTAAAAATACAAAAATTAGCTGGGCATGATGGCATGCGCCTGTAATCCCAGCTACTCGGGAGGCTGAGGCAGAAGAATCACTTGAACCTGGGAGGTGGAGGCTGCAGTGAGCCAAGATCATGCCGTTGCACTCTGCACTCCAGCCTGGGTGACAGAGAGAGACTCCATCTCAAAAAAAAAAAATTCTTTATTTCTTCTTCAGTTTTGAAGAATATTTTGTCTAAGGTATTCATGGTATCTCACTATGATTTTAATTTGCATTCTCATGAATTTGTTATTTTCATTTACTATTTCATCACGGACATCTTTCCATGTTAATACATGTAAGTCTACCTCACTGAAGAAATAAACCAAAACATAAATTAATGGTATTGTGTAGATGTATCAGAATTTTTTAAACCTGGCTCCTCTGATTGGCTATGTTTTCTTTATTTTTTGTTATTACAAGTAATGGTGAAATCAGTATTCTTATCACACATGCATTTGCACCACACATCAATATTCCCCACACCCATTTGTTGTCATTTGACTTTGTCCTAGTACATACATGCAGAGATAAATTTTCTTTAAACTTAATGCGGTCAAGTTAATCAATCATGTCCTTGGTGGTTTCCGAGCTGTCTTTGCTGTATACACGCCTTTTTATTTTTATTTTAAGAGACAGCGGTCTCCTTATGTTGCCCAGGCTGGTCTCAAACTCCTCCTCTCGCCTCCGCTTCCCAAGTCGCTAGGATTACAGGCGTGAACCATCGTGACGGGCTCTGTTCTATGCTTTAAAGACCTTCTCTGTTCAGAAAATTTAGAATGAAAGTGTTTTCAACCAACCTTTCATGGTTGCAGTTTTTCAGCCCACACCTGAGGGCACAGTATTTTCTAAGTCCGCTTGCGCGGCTCTGGAGAGCCCGGCCAGGCATGGCGCCCGGCCCGCAGGCTCGCGGTTACATTTTCCACGTCCTCTCTGGAGGCCGGCGCCACACCGGGAGTCGCGTGGGCAGAGTCTGTACCCTTCGCAGCAGCCAGACGTCCCGTCTGCTGCTGGGGACGCGTCGTGCTGACCGGGAGCTCCAAGTCGGGAGCTCCAAGACGAGCCAGACGCGCTCCACCAGCACGAGTCTGAGAAAAGCGCCCGGATAAGGACCGCGGCCGTTTCCGCCGGTTGTCGGGCTCCACCTGGCGGCCGCTGTTACGTACTGCACTTGTTCTCTGGAGCTACTGCGAGAGAGAGAGAGAAGCGGCCGCTGTGCAAGGGGTCGAGTTCCAGGACGTCGGTAGCGTTAGCAGGATTGTTCCGCCCGCTGGCAAAGTGTTAGCTCCCCATCTGTTCGTGAGAGCTTGGACTTGCAGCTTAAGCTCGGAGGAGGCTCTTGCCGCGCTCTCAGCCCTGGATGCTCTGTGGTGCGGTTTCATGCGGGTCGACCAGCAACCCCCAGTGCCCGCCTCTCCATCACGAGACCTATTGGGGTCAACATGAATCATCTTGAAAGGGTGTTTGGAGGCCGCCACGCGTGTGGCCCGATACCAGTAGCTTCCATTTGATCTCATTTTCTCCAAGTTCTGCCTCAGAGGTGGGGACCGGCAGCTGTACTCGGAGGACTGCTGAGGGCGCCACCAGCCTGGACTAGATCCCGCGTGGGTCCGCATCCTCCGACTTCCCTTTTTCGAGGCCAGCTTGGGAGGTGACAATGGTCTGGAGAAGAACCGGGTGCCCTGGGGAGGGCGTCTCAGATTCTGTGTGGAGCAGGACCCTGACGCCACGGGGAGGTTCCTCATGTTTTTGGCCTCTTCTCAAATACCTTAATCTCTTCCCAAATACTGGGAACCCCAGGGATTCATTTGGTTGCCCAAACCGTCCAAGCTCTAGGCTGCAGGCACGAAGCTATTCCAGCATAGTCCTTTGCTCCAGGACACCTGGGCTGCTTTCTTGAGGGAACAGCATTCCCCTTATCGGGCTAGACCCTGGCCACCCATGCCGTTCACAAGCTGTTCCTGCCAGATCTGCTGGCACTCAGTCATCCTGGGCCGTTACATTTTCCACGTCCTCTCTGGAGGCCGGCGCCACACCGGGAGTCGCGTGGGCAGAGTCTGTACCCTTCGCAGCAGCCAGACGTCCCGTCTGCAACTTCAAACTTCTCATCCTTCTTCCTCCTGCATTGCTCCTTCCAGGCATTCTTTAATCACAGCGGTGTTGGAGGCTGGGATTCCAGACCCAGCACTAACAGGGTACAGCCACAGCTGCAGCATCTCACAGTGACCTAGAGCCTGGCCCAGCTGCCCAACTCAGGCAGTTCACCTAGGGCAGCATCCCTGGGAGGTGGCCACTGCCAGATTCACTTCGGATTAGGAGCTGAGGCTCCAAAGGCACAAATGACTTGCACAACATCAGGCAGAAGGATTAGAATTTAGGTCTGCTGGCCTCTAACTCTGTCTCCCAAAGAACAGACCATCAACCAAGGAGACAGGTTATGTCCAGGTAATACAATGAAGTGACCTAACTACAAAGAAGGATGAGTGATCATGGTGGGGGCAGGACAGGGGCAGGCTCTCCCTGCATCTGTTTGTCTCCTCTCTTCCTCCTGCCCCCAGACCCGGCCACTGAACACGCTCCTGGACCTTGACGTTGCTGGGCTTCCATATTGTCCTGTCGTGGCTCAGACGCCACAGAAGGATCACTCCCCTTCCAGTGATAATGGAGTTCTTCATTACCAAAGTGTACAGCCATGAAATCCATTACTAACCCTGAGACTCAGGCAAGAGGTCACAGGTCAGCTAAGTGGAAGAACAGTAGCAAAGTATAATGGAATATGACGGGGAGGCTTCCAATCACAGAAGGACGGTAAACATAGAAACAAGCTGGGTGACCTCCACCCCTGTATTCAATCCCCAAAGGTAATGTGGGGAAGACACCTGTAACTCAGTAAAATCACATCTAAATCCTTAAAAAAGATTCTTCTCCTCTGTACATTAGTCAAAACCCTCATGGGCACTTTATCCAGATATGAACATAAAATAGCATTTTCTGCACATCTAATTAGCAATAATTCAGGAGCATTACAATAGTCCAGGTGGTGAGGATACAGTGAGACTGGCACTCCTTTGATGCTTCTCTTGAAAAATGTACATGGTGCCATTGTTTGCAGCATCATTTGGCAATATGTATTAAGAAGCTATAAAAAGTTTATAGCCTTTGGCCTACAAATCATACCTCTGGGAATTTTTAGGAATACAATAATCAGAGATGCTGACAAAGACTTATGTACAGAATGTTCTTTGCAGCATTATTCACAATGGCTGAAAATTGGAAGCAACTTCAATGACCAATGAATAGGAAAAAGTAAAGAAAATCAGGGGGGCTCTACAATAAAAATCATAATGCTTTCCAAATAATGTTTTAGAAAGAATGTTGATGCTACTGGGGAAATGAGGGAGCTTCCTAATGAGGCATATTGAACTTAATAGATCTCAAAGGTGACTCTTGCTTTCACATTCAAATGTGACTCTTCCTTTTCTTCTCTCAGTGAAAAGCACTGAGATGGAAAGAGTCCCCATCTTCTCCCAGTTCCTCCCAAAGAATGGACCATCAACAAGGAGACAGGTTATTTCCAGGTAATGCAGTGAAGTGAGGTAACTACAAAGAAGGATGAGTGATTATGGTGTGGGCAGGATAGGGGCGGGCTCTCCCAACTCAAAAATCTAGAATTTGTTCTTGATTCTTTCCTTTCTCTCTCACTGGACAGCCACTGCCACAATCAGTCCTGCTGGGGCTGCTATCAAATGAATACCTCTGGACCATCCCCTTCCCTATTTTCACCCTCCCCCTTCCCCGTGTTCCTCTCCTCCCTTTCCCTCCCTCCCTGTCCCTTATCTACTCGCTCCCCTTCTTTCCCTTCTCTTCACCTTCACTCCTCTATTACTCCCTCCTCTCCCTATCTGCTCCTGTCCCTCCCCTTCCCGCCCTACCTCACCCTGCCATTACTCCATCCTCACTAGATCTCCTCTCTCAGGGATGACCCCAATGTCCTTCTCCTACTTGGGGGGCTCCCAGCTTCCTTCTTCAGCCCAGAGCCCATTGTGTGCCCATAGCCAGAGACCTCCCATGGAATGTAAGTCCTTCACTCACTCCCTGTTGGATCCCGCGCCAGTGGATTACTTGCTATTTAGAACAAAACACAAAGCTCTTCCTGTGGAACTGAACTTCGACTGTTGGGGAACATAAGAGGCAGCCACTGGCCCAACCAGCCAAGGCCTAAAGGTAGCAGAACAGAAATTCTCATTAGCAGAATTTTCAGTCATTGGAGCTGAGCTGTGGGATGTTTAAGTGTGGAGACCTAGCACAAAATGTACCAGTGGGGGCCTGGTCCAAGTCTTCACTCCCCTACCACGCTCCCCACCTCTGTACTGTGTGCTCCTGTCACTCTAGCTTCCTTCCGCATGGAATGCCTCCTTTCTGTCTTCTGTGGTCACACCTCTGCACTGAGCCCTACGAGACCCACCAACTTCAGAAGCTGCCCCTGACACCTCGAGCAGTAGGCAGGTGTGTCCTGTGCTGTCCATGCCCTTCCTTTGCACCTATAAGCTGGTGACTCTGTTCTGTAGATAGTTGGGTCCCTGTTTCATCTTCCCAGCCGGACTGTGAGGTACTCATGGTGGGATCTATGGCTGATCCATCTCAGGGAGTCCCGTGGAGCTTGACCTAATGTCTGGCATGTGGGAATCCCAGAGAGGAAACAGCAAGTGCAAAGGCTGGGGATCTGATAGCACCTGTGGCAATATATAAGATTCCATGCATGTAAAGGGCAACAAAATAGAGCAATGTTAGATAAAATAAATATCCGTGAGTACATACTGATAGAAATAAATGATTAAATAAGTTAATGAATGAGGGAAAAGAGATAAATTTCCCATGCAGGATTTCAAATAAATTATGTAACATATTCCACCCCAAAGGACGGCGAGAACAACTCCCCACTCCTTAAGTGTGGGCTGCACACAGTGACTTATTCTCCAAAGAGGACAGTATGGAAGAGGGGACAAAGAGAAACTCTGCAGTGGAGAATCCTGACGAGCACTACCTCTGCCAGATCTTTAGTGATGTCAGTCATCCCCCTTTTTATATGGATAATTTTCTCTTTTTTCCCAATCAATCCAGTTGGACATTTGTCATTCTTATTGATTTTCCCAAAGAACAAGTTTGTGGATTTATTGATTTTTTTTTTCCTATTTTTATTTCATTGATTCCCATTTTGATCTTTATTATTCCTTTTCTGCTGATTACTTTAGATTTAATTTGCTCTTCCTGTTTTATATTCTTTTATTTATTTATTTTTTTTGAGACAGAGTCTTACTCTGTTGCCCAGGCTGGAGTGCAGTGGCACAATCTCTGCTCACTGCAACCTCCACCTCCTGGGTTCAAGTGATTCTCCTGCCTCAGCCTCCCAAGTATCTGGGATTACAGGCACCAGTCACCACGCCTAGCTATTTTTTGTATTTTTTGTAGAGACGGTGTTTCACCATGTTGGGCAGGCTGGTCTCGAACTCGCAACCTCAGGTGATCTGCCCACCTTGACCTTCCCCAAGTGCTGGGATTACAGGCGTGAGCCACTGCACCCGGACTATGTTCTTAAATTAGGAACTGAGGTTGCTGATCTGAGACCCTTCTTCTTTTCTAATATAGCAATTAATATCATACATTTCCCTCCTCCTACACGGGGGGCTCCCAGCTTCCTTCTTCAGCCTGGAGCCCATTGTGACAACCCACAAATTCTATGTTGTTTTTCTATTTCCAATAACTTTAAATGACTTTCTAATATTCCTTTAGATTTCTTCTTTGACCTATGAGTTATTCAGAAGTGAGCTAATTTCCAAATATTTGGGGATTTTTAAAGGATCTTTCTATTACTGGTTTTTAATTTTATTCCATTGTGGCCAGAGAACATACTTTGTAGTTGAATACTTTTTAATTTATTGAGGCTTTTTAATGGGCTATAATGTGGTCTGTCTCCATAAATATTCCATGCACAGTTGAGAAAAATGTATATTTTGCTTTTATCGGGTGGAGTATTCTATAAATATAAATCAGGTCAAGTTGGTTGATAGTGTTCAAGTCCACTACATTCTTGCTGATTTTCTGCCTATTTATTCTATGAACTATTGAGAGTGGAATTAAAATCTCTGATGGTTGTGTCTATCTCTACTGATTGTTTTATTGCTTTTCTTCATGCATTTTGAATCTTTGTTATTAGGTACAAAAACACTTAGGATGGTTATGTCTTCTTCATTAACTAACCACATGATTAGTAAGAAATAATCTCTTTAATCCCTGGTAATAGTCTTTGCTCTGAGTCTATTTTGGCCTTTGTATAGCCACCTCAGCTTTCTTTTGACTAGTCTTGGCATGGTATATCTTTTTCCATCCTTTTACTTCTAACCTATTTGCATCTTTATATTTAAAGTACATTTCTTGGCCAGACATGGCGGCTCACACCTATAATCCCAGCACTTTGGGAGATCGAGGCAGGTGAATCACTGAGGTCAGGAGTTTGAGACCAGCCTGGCCAACATTGTGAAACCCCGTCTCTACTAAAAATACAAAAATTAGCTTGGCATGGTGGTGGAGGCCTGTAATCCTAGCTATTGAGGAGGCTGAGGCAGGAGAATCGTTTGAACCCAGG